CGAGAAAACTCGATCTAACGAATTTTTTTTTTTTGATGCATTATTTATGATCGCCAGTGTACATGTAATATTTTAAAGTAAAAAATATGCGCTAAGTTAGGCCAGAAATCATAATCTTTTATATTAGAGCGCAGAATGTGGTTTCATATAATAGTCGAAATTTCGACAGTTTTTTAAAAAATATGATTTTAACCTTATACCTCTTAATAACCCTAGCTACCGCAACAAAATTTCACGGCAGATGAGCGATGATCAAAAAATTTGGCCGGAATTACTCAAAGTTCTACTAATGCAACCACAGAGCCTATTAAATGAAAATTGTTCCTAGGTCAATTTTACCATAATGCGGGATTATTTTCCAAAAAAATTTCTATTTTGTAATGAATAAATCAAAAGTTAATAACTGCCGGAAATTAGTAAACAATTATGTTATGTGGGCCAAAATTTGCAGATCTGCAGCCGTTAACCAATCAAAATCGAGTGACAATTTTGTGTGATCGTTTGATGGTGCATACTTGGCTGCCTTTTGATGTTTTATTTAAAATATTATTTAAAAATACATACGCTCTTGCTATTAGAACCAAAAAAAACACAAAAATGCTAATTTCGCGCATTTCTAAATTATATAATTTTCGGGTCGGAAATTTCTAACCCGAACCCGAACCGAACCGATTCGGAGCACGATATACAGCACGTGATCTGCAGAATTTTCGACGTTATTTGTTTACCAAAATTAAATAGACTGGCTCAAACTATGCCCAAATCTAATACTAACTTAGGCCGAATAATAGTCATGTGATGTTGTGCTGATTACTCTTCTTAAATCTTCAATAAAATCACTTATTAATCAATATAAATCGAGATTTCAAATTATTTTATTAAAAACAAGTGATAGTATTTCTAATCTACATCACTAAAAAAACCATGGTATCTTATAATCAAAACTACAAGAATATTCGATCTTTCTTACAAAAAAAAAAAAAAAAAAGGTTCAGCTTCGATGTTTCAATATATTTTGATTATTAAAATACTTAAAATATATCTACGCCTAAAATGATTTAAAACCACAGAAATATAACAATAATGCTGCATTATAAGAATATTGCAGTACAAAAACTTGCAAATCGATATGCTATATTCATTTGGGAACGCCTATCTGAAGTATGGATTATGATTGTTACTCTCTACCTGATATGTAAATGAAGTATATTATCGTGATGATTAAAAGAACTGATTAATCATTCGGATACGGTTTCAATCAAGTTTTATTTAAAAGAAAATAAAAATAAATAAAACTTATTGTTGATAATAGTTAATTTAGATACGTTAAAGCCGTCTGGAAACCTTCAAATTTCAAAAATGAAATTGGCAAATTTAAATGTTATACTATTTTATACTATTTTAATAATATTTACTATACCTTGATTGGAGATCCTTTTAACATAGTGTGGTTTTTTTGCAACGCTTTTTTAATCAAAGAAGAATGGGCAAAACTTATGATTGCATGTCTACATTATAATGCAATATTAATTTATTACAATCTTCGCGCATCAAAAAATGTATTTATATTTAATGTAATACCTGTTACGACCATCACGGATCAGAATTCGGTTTATTTGTTTTCTACAGTTCTTAAAATGATGAAGTATATCATTGGGAGAAGTAGTTATATTAATCTATAATAAATTGAAGTTTATGAGCATAATGTTGAGAAACAAAAGTACTAATAAGAGAAGATACATACATTGCGAATAAGTACTGAATCATCGTTTTGAGCCTTTTTAGAGACCTTGAAACGTTTAAAAAAGAGCAATTTTGCCCATTGGCGTTATTTGAACAATGGATTAAGCTTAATTACATCCAGTGTTCCGCAAGGATCGGATTAAAAGGATATTTTTTAAGATCCGAAACAAAAATTCAGATCGAATCTAAGTATGATCCGGATCGAGAATCGCTCAGGGATTAAATCGATTTTTCGGCTCGAGTTCGGGTTTGTTTAAAGACTGGTCCGAACCGGACCGTGCGGAACACCAAATACTAAAACAAATACATGACAGCATGACATAAATGTAATCATACACGAATCCGTTTTCCATCAAGATGTGATTCATTTGCCTGTAGCGCACGTTCTACAAAATCTCTTCCGGCAAGGTGCATAAATGCATATTTTCCCTTTTTACTGTACAATTGAAAAGTATTGAATAATTTTATTTGATATCCCAAGTTTAATGTAATTAGTTCAAATACCCATTTTTTATCGTGACACTGTGTATATCGCGATAAGGATGAACGCCATAAGATTGAAAATGATTTCTTAATGCGTCTTCGGTAATACTATCAGGAAGCTAATACAATGTGATGAAAAGATAGAAATATTTAATGATGAATAACCTATTGAAAAAAAAAACAACGTAAATATTAATGAATGTTGCAGCTGATGCTGAAATTTCGATTATTTTATTATTAAATTTTTAAAAATTTTTTGGGCCTTTTCGTTAGGGGTTTTTTTATAGGGTTAGGTTAGGGTTAGGGGGTAGTTTTATTGGTAAAAAAGTATATGTGAATTTTAGTAGATATTATAGATTTAAAAAGGGACCCCAGATTTCAGCATCAGCCGTTTTCAGCATCAGCTGCGACAATGAATATAAATTTAAATGCACACATTGCCAACGAAAATTGTACAAGCATCACTCCATTTTTTTTCGACCTTTAATTATTTTATGAACGAACCAATTAGTAATTAATATATATAATAAGGAATTTAATCCTAAATGCACCTTAACTATATGTTCATCTATTACGCCTCTATTCAAACGTAAGGTACGTTTGACTTCCGATTCTTCATCGAATTCTATATAAGCATATCTATATGTAATACAAGCTATACTGTGTTATCATCTACATTCTCAAATTTCATGAAATCACAAGATTAACTTACCCGTTGTTTCTATCTTCGGTATCGTCGAAAATTTTACAAATAATTGTGATTTGTCTAATTGTTCCATTTGATTGAAAATCTTCATGTAAATCTTTGACAGTAATATTGCGACTAAGCTATGAAAAAACCAATTAGTAAACATTATTTAATTCTAGCAAAGTATTATCCTTATACCTCGCTAACATAGATCGTTCGAGCATCTGTAAATATTACTGTATAAGAAAACTCTATAATTTCAACATGATTCTTCATTTTCCTAATATCAAAAAGATTAAGACATGCCTTGTTTAGCATAGTTCATCCTTTTCAGCTATTTTTGCTAGATAGACAATTGTCAAAATATCTTCTTATATAAGTCAATTCTTCAAATTTGCAGGAAATCAAAATTAATACCCGCGACAGCTTAACTAACAGCTATAAAATATTTATCGTTTTACGTATAATTTTCATAAAAATTTTCGCAACGAAAATTACAGAATATTTAATTCCGCATTGCATGGACTAAAAGGTCTTCTACTATAGTACTCTTCACAATTTTTAGAGGGGGATATACCTTATATAAATTTTTTCATATGAAAAACTACCAAATACGTATAACATACCTGTAGATTGTACCCAGGTCATAGATAAGAACGCCCCAAATATGGGGTCTTATAATGATCAGCAGAAAAACACCAAACCCTAATCTATAAAGCACGTGAGTACATGGCTTTGACATTCCCCAAATATGGAATGATGGCTTAGCGTTAATACGTACTGTATTGAAAAATATTATACAATTGCTGAATTGATGAGAATGATATAATTGTTTGGAGCGAAGCAACAAACTTACATTTCTACGCCCTTTGATGACATTTATAGAATTATAGTTGCGGCACTTTCTGTCTGTAATGCCATGTATCTATTTTTGCATATTCGTGCAGGTTGTTTCTACTTAGGGTGTTCTCCTTTCCTCAATAGACCGGGATGCCGATGCCTAACTATGTACAGTGTGTCACCGGAATAACAGGTATGTACGTACGTTGTGAGGGGCAAAGTCGATCCGGAATCTCAAAATATAGGCCTCACGGATATCAACTAAAACTAAACTAATCCAAATCAACTCACTAAACAACCAAACTCTATCTAAACCCTAATGGTGGAAGGCGCGAAAGAGGCTCTCATATTTATACTTTAGCTATCAGAATTAATCCGGAAGATGTTTATTGACACATAAACATAGAAGTTTTAAGAGATCTATTCGAAGGAATACCATATAAACTTATTGGTGTGAACTGTATTATTTCGCACAATTTCTAGTTTATTATATGACTGGAAAGATTATTCCCTATAAAAATATACCTGGTTATAATCTGTTATTGCCACCTGAGGAGCGAACTATAAAATCATATGTTGACTATGTTTTGAGACCTGAATATGAAAAACCAGAAACACAAGAACTTCAAGTGGAAGATCTGTTGAAAATAGTAGAAGGTATATATCCTAAAATAGATTACAAATTACCCACTCTCATCAAGGAAAAGAAAGTAAATCTAACTTATATAGTTATTTTACTGACCTTCATTTCCTAGATGATGTTGAAACTGTTTACGCAAAATATCATGATGGTGTTAAAACAGTTTGGTTTCCTATGATAAATTTTGTTCATCATTATAATGTCTTGAACAGGTAAGATGATATATCACCTTATTGACCATAAAATAAATATTCTAGACAATAAAAAATTAATTGTAGATCTTCATGATATCAAAAAATATTATATTGATCTTTTTAATGTACCTATTGATTTAGGTATATGTAGTATTAAAAATGAATTATATACATTAGGTATAACAATGCCTTTATGTAAATTCAGTAGAGAAATTGATGAAATTACTGCTGAGTTAATAAATATCTTTAAAAAAGAATATTCTCATCCAGAAGGCATATTCACTCGAAGATTAGGAACAGTTCAAATGGTCGATAAATCTAACAAGCATTATTTCATTAAATTAGACGTTTCTGTTTTAGAAAAAGAAAAAGAACACGACCATTTTCAAGCATCTATTTTCCATTTTAAGTAATAGCACTTTAATGTCACCAGAAGAAGCATCAAATAAATGGCATTCGTCATACAATTGGGGATTTCCTTATCGTATGAGAATTTATCTAGACATAAGTTTATACATCAGTCTCTCCTGTATTCTTAAAAGATGAAGTTTTGAACGGTCAAAAGTTGAAATTGAAGAAAAAATTAGATCTATTAGCTCAAGATCCATTAATATATGTTGGTTAATTGTCTACGACATAATAACATCTACTGAATTAAAGTAATTTTTTATTACAACATTATTATCAAATATGGAGTACATTTTCTGGAACCTACTATATTGCATCATTGATATTAATATAGCTTCAATTGATTGTCGATCATGCATAACCATGATCGCTAACCAGACATCAAATACTGGTATTAGTATGTCTAACGCTAACCCAGTAATGCCTGAAATAGGCAGAGACATACAAATTGAGGTGAAATCATGTGAACAGGTTGTCCAATCGGAATTAAAAGAGCTACACTTAACTTGCCTATAAACCATACACTACGTACTTCGTACTCCGTTCCTGGTATAAGGAAATGTGGAAGGTGAAATCAATAAAATAGATTCGTATCCAACTTTAAGCTTAAAACGGAAACGATCTGTGTTGCGCCGGCAAAAAAAGATTGGATTATGTTAAGATCATCGCATTAATTATTTTTTATACTAGCACTAGGAAATCAGAATCTATAAACGTAAAAGCCCGAAGCAAAAAAACCGTATACGTATTAATGGCTTGTTACACTGACCGCAAACATTATGAGAACCGTAGATTAATGAATTTGATTGGTTCTTTTTGCATGAACGCGCATTCACTTTTTGCATTAAGCTACCTATATATTTGATCTTCAGAATACTCAACATATGCACCAGTAGTGGCAGTAACTTTACACTTTCCAGAGCATTTATATATCAAAATGTCAAAGAAAGACTTTGCAAAAGAACGATTAGCAAAAGATATTAGATCATCAGAAGAAATTTCTCAAAAATCGGCAGACGAAATATACTGGCTTGGTTATTGTTACGAATATGGAATTGGAGTTGAAAAGGATGAAAACAAGGCATTCACATATTATAAAACATCGGCAGATATGAATAATTCCAATGGAATGTATAAAGTTGGTTATTGTTATTATTTAGGAATTGGAGTCGAAATCGATAAGAATAAAGCGTTTACGTATTATCTGAAGTCAGGTAAAGGAGGTAATTCGATGGGAATTTATAAAACTGCTATTTGCTACTATTTCGGACTTAGTGTAAAAGAGAATTATGATAAATTTGAAGAATGGATTTATAAGTATGTTGATTTTTAATTTTATCATAACTTTGTAATGTTCATTTGAAAATTGGGAATTCTCATGCAATTTTATCGATCAGGGAGTAAGTATAAAGAATGTTAATTAATCCATATCAGGAATTTAAGTTCATAAATATTAATCACTTGTGTTAAATTTAGCGCGTAAGTATAAAGAATAATGGATATAAATAAGGATGGTAAAACAAGTTCTCAAATCAAGAACATAATTTATTTATTATTACGTACAACACATTCATTCAGTGAGTGAGTACAAAAAAAATTTACTAGCTTTTAGAAATAAAACAACAAAATAAATTTACAAATTAAGATCATTAAACTTATTTACCATTACATACAAATCATTTCAATCACATCAATTTAGTTAGTGAGTATAAGGAATAGAAATAAAAACAGCAAAACAAGTTCACAATCAAGAACATGAATACTTATTTATCATTACGTGAAATCACTTCATTCGCAATAATTATTTAATTCAGTAAGTATAAAGAACATTTTATTAAATCATAAAAACAAAAACAGCGAAAAGTTCACAAATCAAGAATATAAAACTTATTTACCATTACACGTATATTATTATCCTCATTAATTTAGTCGGTGAGCATAAAAAACATTTATTAATGGATAGAAATAGAACCAAGCTCACAAAATTAGGAAAATAAATACTTATTTCCATCACGTACAAATTACTTAATTTGTAATAATTTTTACACTTAGCATGTAAGTATAAAAAACGCATATTGATTTCTAAAAATAAAAACAGCAAAACAAGTTCACAAATCAAGAATATATATGTTTATTTATTCACATTAATTTAGTCCGTGAGTATAAAGAACATTTATTAATAGATAGAAATAAAAATATGCTTATACATGAACCATCAATATTAATTTGTTATGTACAAATCATTTTATTCGCATCATCTTAGTTAGTGAGTATAAAGAATTTTATTAATGAATAGAAAAAAAAAAAAGACAGCAAAACAAATTCATAAATCAAGTACATGAATATTTATTTACCATTACGTACAAAACATTTTATTAATCATTTTATACAGTGGGTGAGTGTAATGAACATTTATTAAAGGATAGAAATAAAAATAGCAAAAAAGTTCACAAATAAGAGCATAAGTACTTATTTATTATATATATAAATTATTTTATTGCATTATTCATTTCTTTCAGCTTGTGAGTATAAAGAACTTTTATTGATGGTAGAATAAAACAGCAAAACGAGTTCATAAATCAAGAACATAAAATACTTATTTACTATTATGTATAAATCACTTCGTTCTATTAATTTAGTAGGTATGTATAAATATAAAGAACATTTTTAATGGATAGAAATAAAAAAAACAAGTTCATAAATCAAGAACATAAATACCTACTTACTATAAGCACAAATTATTTCATTCACATTGATCATTTCATCCAGTGGGTGAGTATAAAGAACATTTATTAATTTTTAGAAATAAAACACCAAACAAATTTATAACCAAGAACAAATAATTTCATTCAGTGAGTGAGTATAAAGAACATTTATTAAAGGATAAAAATAAAGACAGCCAAACAAATCTACAAAAAGAACATAAATACTTATTTCCATCATTATAAATTATTTATTCAGCATGTAAGTATAAAGAATAATTTATTAACGGATAGAAATAAAAGTAGCAAACCATTCACAAATCATACTCATTCACCATTGCATACAAATTAATTCTTTAGCAAGTAAGTATAAAGAATGTTTATTAATGGTTATTTATTTTACATACAAACCATTCATTCACATTAATTTAGTCGGTAAGTATAAAATTAATTGCATTCTATATAAAGTTTAAAATCTATGGATTGTGAAATGAAACATTTTTAATTATCATTGCATAGAGAATCTAAATATGGAAAATGTGCGCATTGTAATGGATATAACACATATAAAGCGTGGTGTTTATCATGTGACCCTGACATAGCAACAAGGTGGACAAGTGGAAATAAGTATATTGACAATTTCATGAAAGCATTCCAACTTAGAACCTTTGCATATGAAGATATAATTGAATGGATTCCATTTAATCGACTGTCTGATATTAAAGAAATTGGTAAAGGAGGATTTGGCACTATATATTCTGCAATCTGGTTGGATGGTATACGAAAAATTGAAAAATTTGATGATAATGACGATGGTAATTATAGCTATAAGAGACTTCGTGAATTAAATAACATCGTTGCACTTAAAACTTTGTCTGGTTCTTTAAAAGAAGTGAGTTAAATTCATTTTCTCGGAAATTTTTTAAATACATAATGAGCTAATTCATTAATTAATTAACTATAAAGTTTGACAATCACTTGAAATGTAATTTGTATGGTAGTAGACTTAAGATATATGGATTAACTCAAAACAAAGAAAATAAATACTTTATGGTATTTCAATATGCTGATTGTGGAAATCTTCACAAGTTTTTAGAAACAAAATTTCAAGAACTTACTTGGAAGACTAAATTAAAACTACTTGAATATATTTCAAGTGATTTACGTGATATTCATAGTGCAGGGTACATTCATGCAGATTTGCACAGCGGAAATATCTTGCAAGGCCGCGACATTAGCAAAACTTTGCAGTCTTACATCTCAGATCTTGGATTATCCAAAAAGAATGATGAAAATGATTCTGAAAGTATTTATGGAGTTGTGCCTTATGTGGCACCTGAAGTTTTGTCAGATAAAAGGTTTACAAAAGCCGCTGATATTTACAGCTTTGGAGTTATCATGTCAGAGATGTCAACTGGGCAAAGACCTTTTGACGGTTATCAATTTGATGAAAATCTTGCAATAGCAATTTGTAATGGATTGCGGCCTGAATTTGCTCCTGGAACCCCAGAGTGCTACATTGAACTTGCAAGAGAATGTATGGATTCGGATCCACATAAACGGCCTAGTGCTAGTACGATTTATTATAAAATAAGTGAATGGAATAATATTATGGGATATTTAGATGATTCAGATGATAATATAGATGAAGATAATGATAATAATAATAATAATTTAAATGAAGAAGTAAATCATGATAATAGTGAGAATGATACAGATAATACAGATGAAGAAGAGGATGACAATGAAATTAAGAAGCAATTTTTACATGCAGATAAAATAATCAAAAAATTACCAATTAATTTACCAAAACATCCAAATATTATGTACACTAGCAGATTAATCAACTCTAAAAAAATCTCGCTTGTAATTAAGACCGATATTATATAATAACTATTGGTAAATCACAAAATTTATGGGTGATCATATACAAATTTATCATTAATATCGAAATACATATCAGTCACACAATATGTCACGTGTAAAATTTATATATATAGAATTATAATAAAAACCATATAAAATTACTATGAACTTTGCAGCTTTGATGTTTTTCAACCTACACATTAGCTTAAATTTAAATTCTGCGATGATATAGAACAAGAAAAGTAGTAAATTTTTGTTCTATTTGTCAAGCTACAGCTCTGCCATCTTTGCATATTTTAAAAATGTAACTTCACCAAAAATAAATATTTATTAATTTTAAAGAAATGTTTTCATGTAAATTATGCTCTGAACAACTTACAAAATGAAAACTGGTTGTCTTGGTAGAAAAATAAGTTAGCATATATTAATGTTGAACCTTCTAGTTTTTTTATAAGCAGCTTTTTTCTTTGACTTACTATTATGCTGTAATTTTGCATTTTTTCTCCAGATTCAACTCAACCCCACCAAGGATCCATGTCAGTAACATTGAGGCTAGTATTTTCAATATAGCAATTCATTTGTTTATCTAACACATTAATATTGCTTGTCAAGTTAGATTGCATATTTATAACTTCTACACTGGCTTTAACTGCTGCTACGCATCTGTATAATTTTTGTCCATCATCTTTTAGTAATATTAAGTGGTCCAAACACTGTCCAACATTGAACACCAAATACTTTATCATTAATGATATCTTAATTAAGGATGGGTTCGGTCAGCTATGGTCAGTTATCGGTCAGCTATAATCAACTATCGACTAGTAGCCGGCTATAGCTGATAAATTATTTGATCAATTTCTTAAACATTTTTCAATCAAACATATAAACAAGTGCCAAATAATTAAATTTTTATATGTTATACAGTTATACATATTATGAAGTTTATAAAATTTTTTACAAATACTACATATAAGGTTTACAAAATAAACCAACCAATTTCTCATCATTAATACAAATCTTTACTTGCTCTGCTATAAATTATGATATGAAATTGATAAAAATTTATAATTTCACTACAATACGATATAGCATACTCTATTCTAACTCCCTTTAAACAACTCATGCACCTAGTTACAAAATAACAAAAATACCTCAAAATAATGAAAAATCGAGTATTGTATTACACAGCATTCACATTCATCGGGGTAAGATCGACCTTTATAGCACAATCTCAAAGAAAGACCTATAATGAATTATTTACTGTGCTCTAGGCAAAATACTCAATAATCTGAATAATTCAAGTATACTAAATATTTTCAAGGCAAAAATTTTTAAATACGTTAATTTACATAGTCAGTCATAATTGATTTAGTATTTGACAAAACTATGAATGGGTAACGCGCATAACCTGCATGCGATTTTTTATTCTATCAAGCCAATATTTGATTTTATCCTTTATAATTTTATTTACATAAGCAGAGCCTTTTATTTTATTAAGCCTATCTTTTAATTTTGTCTATATTTTCTGATTCATTTATTTTATAAGCCCATTATTAATTTGCTTTTTAATTTCGTTATATTTTCTGATTCATATATTTCATCAAGCCAATATTTGATTTTATCCTTTATAATTTCGTTTATATAAACAGGGCCTTTTATTTTATTAAGCCTATCATTAATTTGCTTTTTAATTTCGTCTATCTTCTGATTAATTTATTTTATCAAAAAACTGCAAATTGCCTATCACTAATCATAACTAGTTTTAAATAAGCCAAAATAGTTTCGGTTACATATATAAGATTAATCCTTGCAGTATGTGGCTTCTTGTGCCCTATCAAGGGATGCATCTGGCAAAGGGTGGGCTCTGCATTCTCAGTAAGTAGCCAAGGTAGCTTTTTCTTGGCTCTTCGCTTTCTGATACCCAGAATCAGTGTTAGAGATCTGAAAAAAATTTTTTGTATTTTGAGAACATAAATTATAATATTATGTTCTTATAAATTTTTTAGTGTTCTTAATGATAAAAACAAAATAAAATAGAAAAAAAAAGAGAAATTATATATTTTCTATATATCATATAAGAATATAAATTATAAATTTTATGTTCTTAGTTGGTTCTCAAAAGAGAACATAATTTTTAAATATAATGTTTTCAAATTTTTTTTAATGTTCTTGAGAACACTGAGAACATTAAATATTTAACACTGCCCAAGATGTGTCTTGTAGAGAGGTGATGTGCTGCATCTCGTCATTTAGCCTAAACTTTTCTACAAGTATTCGCGAATAGGATTACTTGAACCCAAAACTTTGGAATATAATGGCAAAAAGCTTTTTATTTTACTGGTTCTATTTTTTTTATAAAAGGCTACAGATTCTGAATGTGGAATTTGTTATAAGTCTTCTTTTATAACAAAAAAGTTGGGCTGTAAGGCATTATAATCTAAACTAACTATTTGAAATATCACTCATCCTTTTTGCAAATATTAGTTTTTTAGGCCACAGTGTACCACTCAAAGTTCACTAATAAAAATCACCTAAGCTTACCTACTTGACTAATTCATGATGAATGGAGTACTCCACCACATAAAAAATACTATCACAAAGTCAGTATATTTCTTAAAAAGGAGCAAATATATAACAGGTCAAAAAAAGTAGGTACCTTTGCTTTGGTATTTTTTTTTTTTTTTGCCAGTTACTTGAAGGTTCTTTGATATCTTAGGATCCACATCTTTTGACCAGAATTATCATGTGTGGATGGAGATCATTAACTGCATTTTGAATAATCATAAAGTGTATTACGCTTAATTACTTTTTTTGATAAATTTGATTATTTTTGTTATTAATTTTTTGAGTTGATTTTTATTTAGTTATTCTGGGTTTCACATATTTTAACCAATTTTAGAAGGTACTCTATTTTGTGCCAGTGAATGTGTGAGTGCAATATTGCAAAAAAAATTAATATAAATTTCATTTTTAGAAAAAGAAAAAAAAATAGAAATGTAGTTATCAGTTAAATGATTAATATTAAACATCTATTTTAATATCAAATTTCTACTTATCTAAATGGATAATAGCTTAAGTCTATCAAAAGTCGGTAAAGAAAACTGAACTTAGTAAGAAAATGAAGTATTTTAATAAAGTTAAGGTTAGTAATTTATGAAAAATCTTTAGATTTATTATGGAAGAGAAATATTTGGTTAATTTTTTGAAATGTTTAAATATTTCTCAAATTTTAAGCTTAGTCTTGCTTATATTTTATATTTATTTGCTTTTCTTTTAAACAATGCATTTTATCCTATCTCATATTTTACATTTAGATTAAGTTTTTATATAATAAAATTTTATAATTTTTTTTGAGCAAGCTTCTTATTTTGCACACTTGGGAATACACATTTAGAACTTCTCTTGTACAAAAAAAAAACTACTTGTGCATATGCATCTTGTGCAAAGTAATTTTAAACACTGGTGCCATCTTTCTTAATTACATGTAGGTATAGTAAGTTAGTACAGTCAACTCTCTCTAAGTGCAAGTCAACGGGCCAGCAAAATATCTTGCATTTAGAGAAAACTTGCACTTAAACAAAACTAAATTAATATATAATTAATTCTTTCTAAATGTAAGTTTATAAGTTAAAAAAAATATCTTGCACTTAAAAAAAAAACTTTAATTAAATAAGTCAATTTAATTGGTTAATAAAATATTTTGCAATTAGAAAAAATAATTTTATATATGCTGGCTAAAAAAAATCTTGCACTTAAAGAATAAAGAACTTGCATTTATGTTATAAGTCCCAACATGGAACCAGACTATTTAATTGCATTTAGAGAAAAGTTGTATTTAGAGGACGTGCACTTAGAGAGAGTTGACTGTATTATTTATAAATTTATTCATATCATATACATAATGTGAATAAAATATGTAATTTTATAACTACAGTAGCTTATACAAAAAACATCTTTCAGAATATTCAAATTCTTGCTCATAATTTACATTAGTTGATTTTTATTTGGGATACTTTGAACAGTATTTAAGTTGTTTTGGATTGCATTGTGTTGGCTTATTTGCATATTATTATATATGTATAAAAAATCATGCTATTTTTATACACATTGTCATTAATAGCTACATATTATTTCTATTTATATTATTTAGTATTTTTTTTTCTGCATAATTTGTTAGAATCCTAAATCTCAAACACTACAATTTTATAGGATTTTCTATATAATTTTTAGCCCTTAACATGTTATTTTGTTTTTGCATCTGGTTTTGTAGTAAAGCAAACCAAAATTAAAAAAATTTAAAAATCTTACAAATTGCGTGTCTAAATGCCAAAACTATTGTTAAAATATAAGCAGAACTTTTGCCATTAGACCAGTCAAAAATACAATTTTCTAGGCTCTATTTTGAAGTTTCAGAGATGTACTTTCAACCTAGCATTTTTAATTTTATAATATGCCAGATGCTTGTATATCGTCATTGCAACCTATATAACTAAGATTCTGTTAATTAATAAATTTTTTACCATATTAATGTGCAATATCATACATCTGCACAATATTTTGAAGATGGTAATTCAAATCATTTTGACAAATTTGGGTTACAGTAGAAAACCCAGTTTTTATTGATGAACTTTGACTGAAAATTTCTAATAAATTATTTAATATGATATATCTAAAGAGGCATGTTATTTTGGATGTGTATGGATATTATTTTAAGTTAAAAAACAATTTTAAAAAATTTAAAGTTTCAAAACAATGCATATATACATTATTATGTACCAATATAGTATATTTATTCTTTTTAAAAAGGGTATATATTTGTTATACTGATACTGTAATTTGCAATAGTGTATTAATGTTTATTTGCTAAAATATATAAAATTAAACAACCACATTTCTCTTAATCCAGTATTTAATTTAATTTTAAAGTTTTATTTTACTTTAATAATACTTTTTGCATTGGTTAATAGATACTTCAAAATTTTTCCCAATTTTCTCTGGTCTCTTGAATATTTTTTTATATATGATCATTAATCAAAATATTTTTCTTGAAAAAATACAAAATACATTTAACTTTGTATTAAAAAGGTTGAAAGAAAACAACCCAAAAAGAGAAATAACAAAAAAGCCAAAGACTTTCTAAAGTCATCCAAGGTTAGTTTAAATATCAAATAGTTATATAAAATCATTGAAATATTTCTTATAATTAACTTTTTTTTAGTAAAGAATGATATTAAGCAGTTGGAGAAATTCTGGAGAATCATGAATAAAATTTCTCTCCAGGGAATTACAAATACAACATCTACTTCAAGTAAAATAATTTTAAGCTCTTAAAAAAATAAAAGACCTTGTCACATAAGACAAACTTAATCTCAAATTATGGACATTAATAGATTTAATATTGTATAGGTGGCTCTTCAAATTGTCTGAAGAAGTAATAAATAATAGATGTAATGAATAATACAATATGATACTATATTCAATCACTTATTTTGATTAAATTTTTATATCTTGTAAACTCAGTTTCTAGGATTGAAGTTTACAATAAAGTAGAATTTGAAGTAGCAATAGAGAGTGAACTTCTTTATCAACCTATCAAAACCTTTAAACTGCCATTATAAGTCAAAAATTATATTGAAAATGAACCAAGGCCAACCAAGAAAGTGACAGAAAGAGATGTCTAGTTCAATGGGTTAAAAAAGGCTTCAAGTATGGAGTGGATAACTGTAGCTATTGTTGACATGCATCAAAATGCTTATTTGGATAAGTATATGCCCAATATAAGCATTTTTTATTGTGAGTACTCTGAGGTTGGTGATTTTATCTCTATATATACTCAAACTATACTAGAGATAAAGAGACAAAAATGTATTAGGTTTAACTAATAAGGACAAAGGCCAACTACTTTATTATATTTATATTTTAGTCAAAAAACAGCCATCACATCAATTATTCTTTGCATTTCTTTCTAATAGGGTTTTCTTTTATATTGTAACTTATAACAGAGAAAATCATATATACAAGAAGCTAAATTTGTTTTTTAAAAAAGGCATAATTCTCTTCTGACATATTGGTTTTCATAAGTCACTATATACAATAATAACTAATGATTAAAGTTCAAGGTGAGTTAAATTATAATATATTAAGTGGAGATCAAATATAGATTAGATGACATTTTTATTTTATTTGTTATATGTTATGAATAATAGTTGTGACAAATAATATTGTGTGATAAACAAGAGCCAAATAATATATACAAATACCAGAAAAAATAAAGGTATCACCTATTCTATATTTAATCTGATATATATTGCTATGTTGTTCGATTAAGATATTTCTATTTGACTATTATTGTTAAGATTATTTTTATTTAAATATTATTGTTGCAAAGAGTCTATGTTATGTTCTGATAACAGGTGATTGAGAAGATAAAAAAATAGCTTATGCACAGAAAACAAAGATCGCAGAAAAAAGAATCACAAACTCAAATGTAAACTCAAACATAAACACAGCAGCAAGCAGTTGGGCAAAGGCAATAGAAATAAAATGCTCACAGCTTAAACAACTTAGACAAAACCTTACAAGTTAGAACCACTCACTAGAAGTTCAGGGCAGCAAGGAAAATTCTATGATAATTAATGTGAAAGGTTACAGAAAGTTTACAGAAACAGGAGTCAAGTATTAGATTAATCAAGCAGCATAGATCTAGAACAGGAAAATATATTAGCATTGAAAATCATAATTGTTACCCAAAGTAGAGGCTACAAAAATGTGGCAAGTTTACAAAACTCACTAGAGGCCAAGCAACCTTCTCCACTTTTTTTTTCAGGAAGAATATACATACCAAAAACAACAATGCTCTAATTATAGAAGTCCAGAATCTTTAGAGAATTTTCATGAACAAAATAGTAGCCACAATTTATAAAAAATACAGTACTGATTTCATTGTGGCATAACCACATTGTACTAAGGGTGTATGTACACACCTGGAAGTTATACTTGAAGATGAGCAAAAGCTCAAAAAATATATAACAGAAGGTTTTACAATGTTAAACCAAAGCTTTTTGGTTATATTTCTACAAACCTAAAACTCTAGTTAAATTACAAAATGTTCCAATAGCTAAGAAGAAACCACTTTTGCAGAAATTTCAGGAGACACTAAAAGATATAGGGAGGATAGTTTCTATCAAACCACTATTATATGAGGATATGCCTATTCTATCCAACTAGTAAATAGTTATTTATGATATTATAGATAATCCCAACTTAATAAACAGAATGCCAAGGTTTAAAAAGAGACCTCAATAAATGAAACATGAAAACAAAAGGATAAAGACCTAAAGAAAGTAGTAAACACAAGGATCCAAGTAAAAATGTAAATAGTTCCCAAAATGATAGTAATAATGATAAGAAAAAATATAAAAAGAAAACAATCGATAATTGTGAAATAATGAATGACCTAGAGAATCCATTATGTCAAAACAGAATTAGAATTGAAAAGGATAACTATAAGATGTTAAATGATATTAAAGTGTCGAATCTACTTTCTCTAGAATAATATTCCATTGCTATCGAAGTGGGGTAGATGTTGAAAAGAAGGAACAATTAATGTTCAATAACCATCAACAAATCTGCAAAGATAAGCTGTGCTTTTGGTGTATGTGACTAGAGATGGGTTTCATGCATGCATATGATTCCTCAATCATGCACATTAATGCGCATTCATACAAATGATTCAGAATTATGCGCATTTTATCCTATCTAAATTTTATATAGGAAAATTAAAGTATATTTAATTTAGTCCAAGGTATATGATGCCAGGCAAAATTAAGAAATAGGAATGCAGAAGTTTTGAAAAATTCTGAAAAGAAAATGAATAGATATAAAGATTAGAAGGATCAGGAAAAATTTTTGGCAAATATCAAATATTTTCTGGAGAAAAAATATAAAATCAAAATAAATTATATCATGCGATATTGTCACGGTCAACACTAGTTCTATGACAAAAATTGATCTGGAACTTGTGCAACGGGTCTGATAGCAGATAGTTTAAGGCGTATAACTGATCAATCAAAGATTGATCAAGGCACATAAGAAATATATGAATGAAGTAAAAGATAAGTATCAGATGATTAATTAATGATGTAATTGAAGTAAAGTTAGCTATCATATGATTAATTATGATGTAATTAATCTAAAATCGAATTTTAGTATATAAGGAATCCTTTTGTTGATAAAAGGACGTAACAACACATATTATAAATTTTGATGGATAGTTACGACTCTTATGTGCATAGTGGGGTACATAAGGAAATAGAAGAAATACTTTCTCTAAAAAAGCTCTTAAACAGCGTATTAGGCGAAAGCTTAATAATCACGGTGATTACAAGGAAGTACACGGAGAACCACTTCTCAACGTGACAGATATCATGCGCATTTTACATAACATGTGCATGTTATTAAAAATGTGCATTTTCCCCATCTCTAGGTATACCATATTTTCGCGAAATAATGTGCAAGGTGTAATTTTAAAATTTGACCCAAATTAAGCTTAATTTGGGTCATTATTCTAAATAATGATTATGCTTTATTACGTGAAAATATGGTGTCAGATCTGAAATCAGTGAGTCTGTCACTAAATCGAAATGAAGGTCTGTGTAACCAAAACCTAGGTTACTTTAGGTCGAAAGAGGCATGTTAAATTTGGTCGAGTGGTTTATAAACGAATGTATGTATTTCATGAGTTTATATTTATAGACTTAGGTACTTTATTATTAGGTAAATCGGGTGTTATTATTCCTGAAGAGCCAAAAGGCCTTTATTTATAATTGCTAATTCTATTATTTATATTCCCAGAAATCCTCTATATTCCAAATATCATCAATAAACCCATTATCAACCTTATAGTCCATATCATTAAGATCCTCCATTTCTCCCAAATCATCTGAATCCTCCAGATCGGGCGGTTCTGACATATCCGGGATATCTGGCAGATCTGGGCGGGAAACCTAAATTAAGATTTACCGAGTCACGTGGTCACGTGCCTGCCGTCAGGTCACGTTTCCGGTCTCACAACGGTAAGGGTTTGTTATTTATCTCCACGCATTTAAGATAAATTAGTTAATTAAAAAAAGAATAGATCATTCTCAGAACTGCCATATATTATGAATGAGATCGGGATCAGATCAAGGATTAGTTCAGAACTAGTCTTAAAGCTGATTCAGTTAATCAATCACAATATTGTATTCTCGCACTAAACTAGTGGGTTGGGTTAGAAATATCCGACCCGGTCCGAAAATTATCCAATTTATAGATGCATTTTATGATTTTTGGTTCTAATAGTAAGTGCATATGTATTTTTAAATAATATTTTAAATAAAACAGTCTAGTATGCACCAATCAGATTTCTTCAAACGATCGACACAAAATTGTCACTCGATTTTTGATTGGTTAACGGCAAATTTTGGCCAACATTACATAATTGTTTACTAATTTCTGGCCGTAATTAACTTTTGATTTTTTTTTATTACAAGAATAGAAATTTCTGGCCACATTATGGTAAAATCGACCCATGAACAATTTTCACTTTATAGGTTCCGTGGTTACATTAGTAGAATTCTGAGTTCATCGCCCTTAGCCAATCAAATCAAGAATCTGCTGAGTACAACGTGAAAATCACAATTTTTAAAAAAACTGTCAATACATAACTTGAAATTTCGACTATGAAACCATATTCTGCGCTCTAATATAAAACAATTCTAATTTCTAATCTAACTTTAACGTATATTTTTTACTTTGAAATATTACACGTATTGAATTTAGTTTGATTCATCGAAGAGATCTGATTGGTGTATATTTGTTTATATCTCAAGATAATGAAATTAAAAATCCCTGGTAATAATATTATATACTTTTGTTCGATCCTTTAATGAAAATATCTCAGCAATTATTTTATCTAATCGATCAAAGTTTGGAAAAACTTAACTGCTGACTTTGTTTTAATAATAGCCTAAATTCTTTAGCTTCGAATAATAATTTCTTGACAGCAAATCAGTAGAGTTTTTTATATTAATTCCATGAATCTCATGAATCCATAGGATAATAATAAAAAAACTTTCATTGATTCTGAATATGCAATGCACGATTATTACTGTAGTAGCCCGCTGAGTTATAAGCATACCGCTTAGATTTGATTAGCCAACTTCGATGATCATCGTTACATGAATTATTAAACGTTTAAGAGCAAAAAATGCTATTTGAATTCATTTTTAAAAAATTTTAATATATTAGCCCTAAAATTTCGGGTTCGGTTCGGGTTGAAGCTCTAACCCGAAAATTTTTAACCCGACCCGACCCGTTGGAGCACTACACTAAACACACGAATCGGATTATTAATAATCCAAATACTATACTTTAATCAGTAAGGTACGTTTTTTCAGATGAGTTTTTTTACGCCACGCAAGTAAAGAGTTGAATTGGATAAAACCGCAATTCGGTTATTAACAGGGCTTGAATTCATTCATTAACCAGTTCAAGGCTAAAATGTTCGTGGACAGGACCACGATACAATCAATTACCATATTCAAACAATTCATTGTTTAAGCCAAAATAAATCGAGAGGCAAATTATCTGACAAGAAAATCAAATAATCAAAAAATCAATGTACATACAACTTTTTCAAAACTGTGAAACATACGATTTCTTATTTAGCTCTAAATAGATCGTATGTAGATATCGGATAATAAAGAGTATATGCGAATTTGGGAAATCAAGTATATACGCGTTGTTCTATTGTGTTATATGTAATGGCAGGGTAGATCAAAATCAATAAGTGCAACGCCAATCAAAATCAGCAATTAAGCGACGACCATGAAAAAATAAATTACCGAATCATGTATCACACATTAAAAGTTAGACTAACAATCTCATGCGACACAAAATACAGGAGCAAATGTTATATCGGATGTGAAGTTTCAATATACATTCACACCCTTGCTTCGCCATATGTATATATCCAATAAAATGCAAGATTTTGCCATTTAATTTGCCGTATAACCATACACTACGTGAAATTTTCAATATCACTCCCGTTCCTGGTAAATATAACTTCTGCATGGTTTATAAAATTGGCAATTCACAATCCACATGATTTGGAATTAATGATCCACATCATTGTAGAATCATTCCACGATTGAGGAATCATTTACACAATCGTGGAAATAATTCCCCTGCATCACGGAATAATCGGAGAATTCATTCTATATTTAATATCGAATAAAATTTTTGGCCGTTTCATATTTTTTTTAGGCTCAAAATTTAGAGTAATTGTTTTCAAAATTGTACTCGATTAATAATTCTGAAAAAAGAAAGTGAAAAATCAAATTCATAGTATTTACGAACATTATTTTTCTATACAAAAGCATGACATACGAACAATACATCGATAATATTAATGGTGTTGATAGTAAACATGAAGATGAAATTACTCTCGGAGTTAGCAATTTTAATTTAGGCCTCTATGCTGATTCTCTTGTACAATTTGACTGTATTTTGGAAAATTCACCAAGTAATTTAACAGCATTAATCTTTCGTAGAACTTATTTAAAACTAGGAATATTTGATAATGCGTTTTCAGATTCAAACACGATATTAAAAATTGTTCCAACAAATACGGAAGCATTTATTCTCCGTGAAGAGACCTATTTTTGTTAGGTCAAAATAATAAGGCTCTTATAGAATTCAGTAAAGTACTAGAGATTAATCAGAATGATTCGTATGCTTTGGTTCTTCGTAGACAAGTTTATGTGAAAATTCAAAATTATAACGAAGTTTTCCTAGATTTTGGCAAATCATCAGAAATCAAACAGAATAATACAGATGTGTCATTGCTTTCCGAGGAAACTAGAAAAATGATAAAAACACTGTTATTTCGTGGGGAAACATACTATTCATTAGAGCAATACGATAAGTCTCTATCAAATTTTTGTAGAGTGCTAGAAATTGATCCATATAATTCAGTCGTATTATCTTTTTGTTGCATGCTTTATTACTTGTTAGAAAAATATTGTAAAGCGTTCTTAAATTTTAATAAAGCATTATGCGTCAATTCATTTGATGTTACACATTATTTTATCGGGGCAAAGCTTATTTTGAACTTGGACATTATAATAAAGCTTTTATAGATCTTAAAAAGTATTAGAACAGTATATATTGGCTCTGAAAACTTATTAGAAATTCAATCAAACCATGTTGATGCACTGATCCTTCAGGCAAAAATATGTTTTAATTTAGAAAAGTGCGAAAACGCAATAATAGATTTGTGCGAGACTTTAAAACTTCAACAACTATATTAACTCTTCGTGGAGGTGTTTATTTTTATCTAGATCAGTATAATAATTCTCTTAAAGATTTAAATGAAATTTTAGAAATGGATCAGAATAATGCTACTACAATTTTTCTGCGTGGAGAATCCTACTTCCATCTTGGTTGCTACCACAAAGCATTTTTTGATTTTAATGAGGCATTAAATATTGAACCAAATAATGTAGACATGCTAATTCTTCGTGGAGAAGCTTACTTAAATTAAAACATTACTATAAAGCATTCCAAAATTTAGGCGAAATATTAGAAATTGACCGAAAAAATATGATAACGTTAGGTCTTCTGGGTAAATGTTATTTAAAATTGGGATTATTTGAAGATGCATTATCGTATTTAAGTGAAGCATTAGATATAGAACCGAAAGTCTATCTTAAACTTGAAGAATACGATAAGGCTCTTTCTGATTCAAATAATGTATTAAATATCGAACCAGCCGCTTTAATTCTTCGTGGAAAAGCATATTACAGTCTAAGAAAATATAATCAAGCTTTTGAAGAATTTAGCAAAGCAATATAATTAGAACCGAATAACTCGACTGCACTGAGATATCTTATAAGTAGGCCTCCGCATGGGCCGGGTAGGGCCGGGTAATAGCAATACCCTAACCCTACCCGTTTGTGTAAGGGCTTAATTTTTAAGCCCTTACCCTACCCTAGGGCCCAAAGTTTAATACCCTAGCCCGGTCCATTGGGCCCACGGGTACCCATGAACTATCCATGGGCCTAACTTCACTATATTCGAAATTACAAGCACTGCTTGTACGTAGTAAAATAAAACCCACCTGTAAAAGTAAATTAAAACTTTACTAAGCTCGCAATATATGGAATAACTAAAAATACAGAAACTTGATGGTATTTAAGTATGCTAATAAAGGGAGCCTTCATAAATATTTAAGAGAGAATTTTAGTAAATTTACATGGCAGACTAAATGTGTTCTCAAGCACCTCAATCAAGTGATCGGAAGCAAAATTTTAATTAGCCGGAAATTAAATAAATGAATCAAATGACCGATGACAAAATCAGGGAGACACAAGCCACCTTTTTTTCAAAAATTTATTGGTACGTATAGGTTGCTCAAACACTACTTTTACATTTTTGCATATTGAACATAATAAATAATGAATTCTCAACAAATTTCTCACCGGTCTAAAAAGATAGCCACTTTTTTTTTAATATTCGAAGCTTTTAAAACAAACTTTAATATGAGTGTAATAAATACAACAATCTTTTAACGTTTAACCAAACTATAATTAATACTATTACTCCATTTTTTACTCATTTAAATTTAGTATCTTATCAGTAAAGAAGACCTAAAACTGAAAAGTTTGGGTAGATGTTTTTCCATATTAAAGAATTTTAAATCGTTAAAATCATTAAAAGGAGCCGACTTAACTAAAGCTGAAACTTTAACGGTGGATCGAAAAGAAATTTTTTTCATTAGGTTTTTTAGGTAGTATAGCAAAAACAGAAAAGTTATCAATTGTGATGCTTGAGCGTCATCACGGTAATTATCTGATCAATTGATTTAGATGCTTGAGAACAGCTTAAATTACAAATACTTCACTTGGGTTAGATTATATTCACTCAGCAAAAATATATAACATTTTGCAAGGCCAATGTACTAATAAAGATGTTCGATCTTATATCGCAGATCTAGGATTGCTAGTAAGAACGATGAATGTATTTCAGAGGGCGATATTTTTGGAGTCTTGCCCTATGTTTCTCCAGAAGTTTTATCAGGCAAAGAGCAGTTTACACAAGCAGCAGATATTTATGAATTTGTATTATTATAGTAGAAATGTCAGCTGGACAAAGGCCTTTCGGAACTCCTGGCTGTTATGTAGAATTGGTAAAGAAATGTAGATAAATGATTTCGTAATTTTAAAAGACAAATATAATTGTATTTCTTTCAGATACTATTATATTTTAGGCATCGCTTCAACTTTATTCTTACTATTTTTTAATTACATAAAAAATGTAGCATTCATTTATTATTAACAATCGCTGAAGCGAAAAAGATTATTATAATTGAGGTAGAATGCTTTATACACAAACTGTGTGGATAAAAAAGCATTCGTATACTATTGAAATTTCCATTCTTAATCGTAATCTATAAAAAAATGCTAGTAATTAAAAGAATAATAAATAATTAATGCAATTGAATTACCATATATAATATAAATACAGGTTTATCATATGAACTTTACATTTGACCAGATTATAATTCCCATTCAAACTTTGCTGCGGCCTCTAACCAATTCCGCTGACACATTAATGCTGCTATTGTGTCTGGGTCTAATGAAGTACGAGTATCAGCGATGATATGCCCTGCACTGCTAAACATTTGTTCGGATGCTACACTGGTAGATGGTATTGCAAGAAAGTCTTGAGCCATGGTTGACAAAGTTGGGAAGCGATCTTTATTAAGTTTCCACCATTCAAGAACATTTGTAGTTCTATCTGCAATTTTTTCATCTAAATATTGATTAACTTCACAAAGCATATTATTTTCACTAGCATGAGTACTTCTTATTGTATATTCAAAAAAATCATTAATGTGATCCTCAAATGTTAATATATTATCTTCAGTACTGGCAACTTCGTAATTAGTTGAACGTTCAATAGCTGGCAGAGCGTAATAAGTTTGAAGATATATATTTTCAAATCTAATTTTTAGAATTATAAATGATATTAGTAATATTAAATTGTAAATGATTAAATTAATAAATATATACTTTTTCCTAATATTTTGTATTTTTTCATCGAAGTTATCTGACTCTAATTTTTCCTTTTCACGATAAAAGAATGAAATGAATTGTAACTTATAATGAGAATCAAGAATACAGGCAGTAATACTTAAAAAATTACTATCTTCCCAATATTTATTAAACTTTTCTATCATAGGCTTAGAAACATTACGGATAAAACCATCCGTATGAAATTTCATACTACAAAGATGAGTATGAATATTTAAAATAGAAGCGAAAGTATTGTTGTGAGTTGAATAAGCATTTGCTGATGCTTTTAGTGTATCTGTTTTTTTATAAAATAAATAATAGATAAAAATAACAATAAATAAATAAATGCAAAAAATCTATAAATAACATACAATTATAGAATGGTTTTAAAATAGTACAGATTTTATCTGCCTTTGACCATTCATCTTCCGTGGGTATGTCAGGAAAAGTTCGATCATGATCACCCATTCGAATAACCACTTTCTTCATTTTTATAGTTGATTTTAATATCGTATAGGTAGAGTTCCATTGGGTATCGCAATCTAATGGTGGGATTATAGAATTTTCAAATTCATATTCACAAATATCTAAATATATTTGATGTCATCGTGGAGTTGAATGTATTGCTTTAACACAGCTACAAATCTAAAAAATTAAATGAATTGTTAAAAAATTATCAAAGTCAATAATATATGAGTGCCACCAAGAGAAAACCTGCAAATTTTATTAGATAAGATTGCAGGATTTCCTTTGATAGCACTTATATAATTACCCTGTTAATTGATCCTAAAATTTTTTTTAAACCATCCTTCATGATAAGATTTAAAATATGCATGAAACAGCAGTTATGAAAAAGCTCTTCACTAATATTATTAAGTGAATCTTGGGAAATATGATCGATTAATTCGTGGATTGCAACATTATTTGAACTTGCATTATCAAGGGTAATAGTTTGTAGCTATAAGATAGAAAAAAATAACAATATAATATTAAATTTTTAATACTTTATTTATGGGGTTAGGGTCCCATAACCTAGTGGTCTAGGTGCCTAATCCTCCACAGATGAGGTCAACGGTTCGATTATAGCTGGTAGTAATTAATTTAATTAATTATCTCTGTAACCTACGGGAGCTTTCAAATGCGAAACCCTGTAACAATAAGACCATGTGAAGTACTTATTTGGTCTATAAAGAATTCTTGGAAAGAGTCCCGAGCCATAGAGAAGACTGGGCACTATGTGTGACATGGCGTCATAGAAAGTAATACTGCATAAGGCTGTGCATGTAAATCCTCGATTGGCTAGGTAGCACCAACAACCCTAAGGCGGTCTT